GCCAGGCAGAGCCCGTGCTGGCCAGGGTGGCCGGACAATGGCCCTTTTGAAGGGCACAAGCACATCTGCGGTGGCAAAAGTCTCCACATCACAGGGAGCAGGATGGGACTTGCGCTTCAGAGAGACACTGCAGAGCACCCTAACCTACAAACAGCCCCCACACATGGGAAGTGGTTTGCAGCCTTGCAGCGAGCCCAAAATAAATTGCGAGGCTCGTAAACATCCGAGCTCCGCTGCCAGTCTCCGTGCATGGCCACCGCAGCTGGAAAACTCACACCTCGCTTTGGGAGCGGGGGCTCACACCTCCCGTGGGGTTTCCTACACTCCGTCAGTGCTGGGAAGGGACTGACAACAGACACATCCCTGCCAACACACTGCAAAGAGAGGGACCGAGCTGGCGCTGGTGGGCATGGGGTCTTCAGGAGGTCCGAGGGCCATACATTGGGGAAGTCCCCCCAGCTGTGGCAATGGCCCTGACACAAGTTTAAAGGTTAACCCTGGTCTCAGCCCCCTCCGTGAGCAGAGGAAGGTCGTGATGCTCAGCCATCCCCGAAGCACCCATGGGGTGCAGCCAGCCACCCAAACCTCCTGGAGAGCTGGGCTCCAGGAGCACTAATGAAAATGAAAACAATCGATTCGTGGCTTGCTTCTTTTCCTTTTTGCTTGATTACGATGAGCACACAAAGCCCAGCGAGTTCATTTATAAACTGGTTTTGGTTTTCATCCTAGCAGATCTCTCAATTTTCAGCCTGGTCTTCTTGCTCTTTCTGGAGGACTCACCAAAGATCTGAGTGAGGCGGGCTGTTCTCCAGGGCAGAGGATGCAGCCCCAGCAGAGACACTTCGTCTGGTCCTCCCAGGCATTTGCAGGGTTTGAGGGATGCCGAGGGGTGCGTGTCGGGCATGCCCCATTCCCTGGAGCCGGCAGTCGGAGTGAGCCAGGGGCACAGTCCCACAAAAATTACTAAAACTCAAGTTTTCCCTGTTTTTTTCTTTTCCTTTCATGCCAAGGATGGAGAGGTGTGTGGAGCAAGGAGGGGTTTTATTTCACTTTCATTTGCTTTGAAATACTGTACACTTAATCCTTTTTGTTTTGTTTTGTTTCAAAAGGAAGGCCAAGAAAAATTTGAGGCATCAGCCATTAGAAAATGACAGTATTCCCCCGGGTATTTTTTTCAGAAGATGCCCTTGCTGGAGGAAGATTGAACCTTTAACGAGATACATTTTTCTTATCAGCTATGAACACCTTCTCGGCATGACACAATTCTGGAGAAACACAAAGGGGTCTCTCGCGCAATGCAGTCGGCGGTGACCGGCGCTGGCTCAGGCCGCCCAGCCGGGATGGCTGTGCTCTCCCCTTCACCCAGTGCGGTGGAGCCAGATGGTTCCCAGTCACTTCCACAGGCACAGGTTCCCACAGGAGCCAGTTCCAGGACACGATGCCATCTCAAAAATTCCACCATTTCTCCAGAAATGTCAAGAACGGTGGGGGTGAAATACCTGGACACTGATGGAAAGTCACTGGTGCCCAAGCTCCGAGCAGGGCAGGATGGAGACTGCGGCAGGTGGAAGCGGAGCTTGTCCTAGAGGCAATTTCTGAACTCAGGAGATTTTTTAGTACTTCCTTTTCTGAGCGAATCCTGACTCCTCAGCATTAAAATCTGCTATAAATAGCAACTTACATCAGCCAGTCTCATCATTTTTTTCACGGTTCCCCTTCCATTCAAGATTGAGAATTTCCCTATTTCTGCTATCACTGAACTTATTTTGGGCATTTACTTTATTTAGCACTTTCTCCTGGGATTTTTTGGGGGCTTGCAGAAAAGCTCTATCATATCCCTCTATGTAAATTGGTGCAACATCAGCCAGACTGCTTCAGATGGCCTGTCCTGCTGACTCCAGGCACTGCCTGCTGGCGGTGGGGGCAAGGGTAGACCACAGGCTGGGTCATGAATCCTGAAACCACTTGGAGCCACGGTGGGAAAACTTGAATCTTACACCACCATTTTTATGTGCTATGAACCTAATTCCCCCTGAGATGCTCCAGCCCGCTTTGGCCACTCTTCCATGGCCACCTCTCCATCTCAGAGCACCTCCCAGGTTAGACGGTCCTTCATCTGAGACACACAGCATCCTCTCTTTCTAAAAGGGGGAAGAGCTAGAAGAAATGACTCTCATTTCATCATGAATGCAGGGGAGTCGGTAAGGAAACATTTTTTAGGAGCATGTTGCAACATCCCAGGGCATCACTGATACGGCTGTAGCCTCCCACCTCCATCCAGCCTGCAAAGAGCTGGCAGAGTGGGGGCTTTTGTCGGATTTCTAAGGAAAAAACAGAGCCCGAGGAGGCAAACACCCTGACTTTGGCGTTATTTTTGTCTTTCAGCAGTAAAAAATTTTCAGCCCTTACGTGTCCCCTGTAACACACATTATCTAGGCTAAACTGACTCAGCTAAACTAAGGAAATTTTTTTTTTTATTAATTAAAAAGTGGTCCCTGACAGTCCAAAATAATTTGGCATCTGCTTGCCGACAAAGATATAAAGGCACGGAGGTTTTCAGTTGCCTGAAACGGAAAAATATCTCATTGAAAACATTTGAATAATCAATGCAGATTTCCAACTAATTCTTCTGTTTTAACGAAACTTGTTTTTTTATCAGAACATTTCTGCACCATAAAAGGCATTTTGCCTGCCTGCCCTGCCCACACCGTGTGCCTTGGGAGCAGGACAGGACCAGATGGCTGTAGGTGGCAGATCTCAAGACATGACCCATGAATTCTTGAAGGTACAATCACAGGGAACAGCTCAGAGGCAAACCACGCTCTTACGTACATCTACAAGTTATATTCCCTGAACAACCAGACAGACGAGTCAAATAAGCCGACGCCAGCTCAGAGCCAATTTCTGGTCCAGCTGGCGTCCGGCTGAAGGCCGGATTCCCGTCTCCTGCCTGGCTGGGCGTCCTGCCTGTGGAGGCAGGCTCTCTCCTCATCCTCCCAGGATATCTGGGGACAGGCAAGCTTGACAAGTGGAGGGGGGAGTGGGGTCTGAACTGATGGGTGAGCCTGCAAGGTGCCTCTCGCTGCAGATGGCAAAGGGAAGGATGGAGAGGGGACGAGCTTGGCCAGGGTGTGGCCAGGAGGCAGGTGATGCTCAGCTTGGCAAGTGCCACCTTTGCTCTGTGGGGTAGGTCTGCCCTCCCCAGCCAGGGCGAGGGGCAGGCGCACCACCACGGCTCCCAGCAGGAGCCTCCTTGAAGGTGGGCCACCTCGGGGACTTCTCCTGTGCAAGTCCAGGACCACGTTGTCCTCCAGACCCCTCCCTGCCTGCATGGAGCAGAGCAGTTAACCTGCATGGAGCTAACCTGCCACGGGCTGGTAGAAGGGGAGGCAGGGCAGCCCACAGCTGGTGGAGGGCTGTGCACAGCATGTGGCGTTGGAGCGATATTTGGAAAACACCAGGTTATTTACAGAAGGCGCCTGGGTTGATAGCTGGGATCCTTTAATAGAAACATGGTGAGTCAGTGCTCAGCGCGGTGGTAGGGCTGCAGAGGTGCTGGTGGTGTGGTTGGGTTGCTCCGCTTTATGCTATTGGCTTTCCACTGACTTTCAGGCAGCATCACCACTCGGTGATGTCTTGAAAACAACAAAATGGAGACATTTCCCAGAAATGCATCTGCTTCCCTGTTGAGAAGAGATGTCCTTCTAGGAACATTTCGTTACAGCTGGACAGCCCTCAGCTCTTCCCAGAGCATCCATCACCTCCCTGCCAGGCCTTCCCTCTCCTCCTCCTTGGGGACAGAGAGGTGTTTCGTAGACCTCCATGGCACTCTGTATGTAGGCTGGTGGCTTCTTCACACTGAACCGTACCTGGTCGCAGCCCTTGCCCAGGCCTCGCCCAGCCCTTGGAGAGCTGTGAGCTCTTTCTCGCTCCCATACAACATGGTCATTCCTCCTTGTCTGTGGTCATTACAATTTTCTCTGTTCTGCTGAGAGTGGGTACTCTTTTCTTCCTGGACATCCCAGTTTCTGCCCATGCCCTCGCCCCACAGTTAAACTGCTCCTGGCCTTCAGAAGCAGTGTCGTCTTCCTCACCCTGCTCCTGGAGCCCCTCCTGCCTCATCATCGGGGTCACAGTCAACGTCTCCATACTTCTTTTGGCTCTCTGCATCTCCATGCCTAACAACGATAGGCCTCACCTATCAGTAGCCCTTGAAATTTAACTGGTCATTTAGGGTCTCCTTTGGGACCTGGAGTGCGGCAGGCACCTTCAGGACATAATGCCCCATCTCAGCTCTCCCTTCCCTTAAAGCGAGGAGGAAACTCCAGTGCTTTAGCTTCTGGGTCTCTTATTTCATGCCCACTACCTGTGCTGGTGCCTGCAGTGCTGTCATGGCTGCAGGACATGCCCTGAGTCCCCTCCAACTATGCGAAGCATGGACAGGACATGGAGCCCACCGGTGACAGCTCCCATCTCCTGCTACTGGGGCAGCACAGGCTGTGCAGATGTGGGAGGGAAACAGTCCACGGTGGAGGAGACCTCAGCCCCTTTTCTCCTAACCGGCCTCATCCCATCCATGCTCTTCAGCCCATTTGCACAGCTCTGAGAAGGATGCACTCTCACCTCCAAGCTAATTGAGCAGGTTGGGTAAGAGGGGCCTGTTGGCAAATACAGGAACCTCCACAGGGGAAATTCTTACTAAGGGGCATGAAAGAAGCAGAACTAGCGATGGTGACTTTCATATCCTGTGTCACTGGGGAGGCTCTGAATGGAGGGGGGAGCTTCACCCTTCCGGGGCTGGGGCTGCTGCTCCATTCCACCACGAGATCGCACCACAAGCAGCCTCTTCTCTGGGGGAAATTCCACCATGCCTACGCAAGCCACTGCACGGATCTCCTCAGCCCATAAATTGGGGAGATGACTGTCTCAGCATCAGACAGAAAAGAGGTTTTCAAGCTCCACTTGCCTGCTTCAGCTTCGGCCACCACTTCTCAGCTGACATGAAGGTCTCTGTGGCTGCTCTCGCCGTTCTCATCGCCGCCTTCTGCTACCAGACCTCTGCTGCGCCGAGTAAGTCCGGGCTCTGCCCCTCCTCTCTAAATGGGGATGGGAGAGATGTCGCTGCTGGGACAGGGTCCCTTCTGCCAGGCCTTCCACCCCGGGTCCCTTCCCATGTCAGACCACCCTCTGGCAAGTGCTCCAGGGCCATCGGGGCTCTCCTGCCATGGGAAAGGCACAGCTCAAAGCACGGCATGGGCTGTGTCAGCCCCAGCTCAGGGTGAACCCAGAAGAGAAAGAATCACAGGAAGATGAAAAAAGACCCCATCTTTTCTTTTCCTCCTCGATGTCCTCCCCACTCCCCGGACCCGGGGGTCTGCGGTCCCAGCTCCCTGCCCCTGCTCCCCATCCCTTGCCACTGCTGATGACTGTCTTTGCCTTTCACAGTTGGGTCCGACCCACCGACCTCCTGCTGCTTCACCTACATCGCCCGGCAGCTGCCCCGCAGCTTTGTGGTGGAGTACTACGAGACCAACAGCCTGTGCTCCCAGCCCGCCGTCGTGTAAGTCCTCTCCTCCAGGGTGGTGGTGGGTTCTCCCTTTGGGATGGGGATCCAGAGAGGGAAAGACCCCTTTTCAAAAGACAGGGGGTGGAGGCTGGCCCTGGGGACAGGAGGGATGGGTGGCCAAGAGGTGCAAGGTGATGCTCCATGGGCTCAGCGCACAGGGGGCTCGCGCCAATCCTGCTCCACCACTGCCGACATAATGGGCATGATGTGCCGCATGCCCAAATTCTGCTGATCCTCAGGAGAGGCTGGGTTTGGGGCAGGGTTCCCCTCCATGCATTGCTCTCTCACCGAAAACTTAACCTCTTTGCACCCCACAGGTTTGTCACGAAGAAGGGCCGTGAAGTCTGTGCCAACCCTGAGCAGGACTGGGTCCAGCAGTACGTGAACGACCTGGAGCTGAACTGAGGCCCCCGGACAGACCCTGCCGCCGCGCATCGCCCCGCTGCCAGGACGAGCGAGCCATGGCCAGCTGTGGCTGTTGGAAATGCTTCAGTGTCATTTAAAGCTAGTTAGGAAACTGAAAATGCCCCAGAATCTGACTTTAGTGTTTTGCTATTTAATTTTTTATAGGGGAGGGATCAGGTGCAATAACTCCACTCCAGTCAAATAAGAATATTATTTAATAGATATAGTTTTTAAATGAAGACTCATGCTCAGGTTATATTTTCTGTATTTAATTAATTGCATTTTTGATGTAATATTTAATTCAAATTTTGAGAAATAAATGTTTTTTGTAAGAACTTTCTGTCTTTGCTTCTATTACAATTCTTTGCAGTGACAATAGCTGAAATTATAATAGTGGCAACATGTTCTTTATTCCCTTTTCTACCCTGTCCAAATCCCCACAAGCTTTCCC